CAGAGCCTAAGGGAGGAATAAGTTAAATTTTATCGGGACAACAACCAAAATCCCCCACTACCACACCCTCCCTGGCGATAAATAATGGTACCTTAAATGGGTTGCTCGCGTAAAGAAAATACTCATTGGCCACAAATTTACTGATGCATGAACCATAACTGTCTTTTCCCTAGTTTATGAAAGAAATCACTTTAAAAGTGTTGCCATTTGTGGGTACATTGCACTGCCGAGAGCCAACAAAATTGCTAAGATAATTAGTGATTTCAAATTGGATCTAGTAGATCCTTTTTTTTAAACATGGCTGTGCCTGAAAAGGACTGGAAACAATCAAATTTAAGAGTTAGATGGAGTTTGTACTCCACAAAGACTACTAAATTGCGAGGTTTAGACTCCAACGCCGATTATATGGCTAACGTTGGAAGGCAACTATTTTCTTCCGCTGGGTGCCACAATATCCGAATTTTTGGGTCCTTCGATCTCTCATGGCTCTTAGTTGCCTGAAGAGTGATAATCCACTCATGTGGTATCAACTTTATAAACAACGGCTGACACAGAAAGTGATTGAAGCAATACCCTTTTATTTGAAATAGCTTTACAGAGCTATACCTTAATTCTCAGGGTTAAACAATATAATGAGAAACGACCTCTTTGCGATCACAGGATCGTAGTCCCATAGTTGGTAGCCATGTAGCTGCGGAACTGATAGTTGCCCATATTACAAGCTGGAACATTAAGTATCTGTGCTCCAGCATTATCCCAATTAATCGCGGGCGTTTGACCAGGCTTGTGAGACCATAGACCATGATCGTTCAGAACATACCAGTGGAAGTCAACATCTGTGGAACAAGGAAATAGAGCAGGTTCTTCAAAATATTGCACAACCCTCATTAATTTTATCTTCTGGCTGAGGGTGGATTGGAGGAGACGACTGGTCCCCTCTATCCCCTGACAACAATGATGTAGGCGCAAGAATTTGTATTATCATTTTTTGTTAGTGTTGGTGTTTCATAGTTTCGTGTTAGGTGTTTATTTTCTCGTCTTCCATTAGTGTCCTTTGTCAGTTACCAGTTTTGTACTTGTTATATTTATTTGCATATGGTATATATATTGGTTGCGCGTAATTTATTTGGTTAGTTGTCTAGTTTGCGAAAATTGTCGTTACATATCTAGCTCTGGGTTTCATGTTTTCGTCTTTGGTTTGGTCACATTCGTCTTGTAAGTATCCTTGTTTATTTCGCTTTGTCGTTTTCCAGTACTTTCACTCATACGATGTAAGTTACTTTATGCTCATTCGCGTGATTGTAATTTTGTCATTTTCAGTTACCGTATTCAACAATGTGTCAAGTTTGTTCTAGTAAAGTTTGAAATACGAGTGATTAGCGTTTGCGGCTACAAATGACATTCCCCTAAGTCCTCTTAGCTTCAGTTCCCTTCCCTATGAATAAAGTCTGATCCCTAATGGAAAAGCAAATAAGAGCATGCTACTATCACCGCAAGTGAACTTCAAACACAAAATGTTTTTCAGGGAATAATTATATTTTAGCAGTTTACGTCGTGTATTGACTCCCAAGTTAAATGTACTATTGATTGCTATGGAAAAAATACCTTTAATGGTCTATGGATAATCGGTGCGGTTGAAGTTATGGAAACCTACTATTTTATGATGCTGCGTTGTGATTGGTTGCTTTTCTTCAGGTGTGATTCTCGAACCTTATTGCTTCTGTTCTCATGTTGGCTAGTTGATTTACAATGCATTTGAGAACTTTTTTTGTGGGAGAAAAAACAAAAATTCAAAATTTCTAAATTTGTACCCGAGTCGCTTCTCATCTCAGTATTTCTCCAGAAATTAACTTCATTTCCTTTATTTGAAGGTGAAGATGCGATAAAAGGTGTATGTATAGCCCAATAATTAACATATAGAAAAGCCTTGACTGTGCTCTGTTCTGTTGTAAAGCACTCAAGAAGCGGCTAGAGGACGAAAGCATTGTAGAGAGAAACACGAGACGTAGTCGGGTGTTTCCCCACTTCTTGAGTGTCAACAGTGTTGTCAGCATGCCCTGTACTCTCACAAAGCACGCTACAATAAGCCAATCAGAATCCTTGTGGGAATAGATCGAATAATCTGATTGGTCGAACAAGATTAACGCTGTCAAAAATGTCAAACCATCAAAGTTCACAATCTGTGAACAATTCGCAATTGTGGCTCATAAAAACATTCAATTTTTTTTTCCACATGACAAAAGAAAACTCACTGCTAAAAGGCGTGTGTTTTATGAATGATCGGCAGCCGGATTTTACAAAGACATTTCTTGGAATGCCAGCGCCCTAATACTTGGCTGCTGTGACTGATGCGGTCTTCAACTCAACATATTGGAAAGGATATCAGAGCAAGCTCTTAGTTGTTCACCCGAAGGGCGGCCGACGTAATTTCTGAGGCTTGCCTCACTGAGATGACCCGAGATCGCCATGATGAGCTAGCCGCGATGGACCTCAGCGTGACCGCAGTCGCTTCGACAATGTCATGATTAGTATGAATTTTTAACAGTTATGCCAGTTTGGTTATATTTTTCATCATTCCTGCTTTGTTCTGTTTTGTTTTTGAGCACGAACTATACATACTATACAGGTGTTAGCTGTATTTGATTTTTATTACCTTTCGTAAGCTTCCAATCTAACTGAGCGTGAAAACTTTCAAGACTCGGAGTGTCCATTTCGTTTACTCTTTGAGGATTTTCGTCTATACTCACGTTATAATAACGAAAATTACGACGCTTTGCAAGTTCAAAAACGATTTTTAAATTGACGAAAAAAAGCTGGAGAGAAGTCCAAGGAAGATTGGGCATAAAACAAATTGGCAGATGGCGTGACAGCTTTAGCTCAGCTCTATGCTTTGTACTCCGATAGAGTACACCCTTTCACAATGACAGCGCGCGTTATATCCGAACTTTATTATAAAGCAATTCCAGTCATAGGAAGTGTCATGCTTAATCCGAGATCTTATGGTCCCTTTGTAAAAAAGAAAAAACATTTACAGAAGCAACGGTTTGATTTGTACTTACTGGGTTCGACAACAAGAGCCACCACAAAGTCCGTCGATTTATCCGGCAGCTGCGGGTTGGCAATGACTCGCAATCCATCACGCACTGCTGCTGCTTCCATCAGAGCCCCAGTTATCCCTGCATAAATATTCCCCGCACCTCTTCCAGGCTGTGCAAAGGTGTGCGTCATTCTATCGTTGGCATAGTTGTAACAGTTGTTCAAAAGCACAATAGGGAAAAGGTTCCAAATAAAAGGATTGTAGCCAAGGACCATACGCTTCTTTCTAATGACCGGCCCTTTGCC